AGATATAACCATTCTCTCGCCTTTTTATTAAAAAAAAGCCCCACGGGAATAAACACTACTTGTGCCCTCCTTTGGATCCGACCGTACCTCTGTCATAGTTAGTTCCTTTCCTGTCCTTTATTGTGTGGAGTTTGGGCACGTCCTCCCGCGCCTTGCTGAAATCATTATTGTTGAAGATCAGGCAGTAGCCCCGAGGTTTGCTTTTCATTTGGTAAATTCTGTCTGATTCCTGGAAAACAAAAGCCGGTCAACAAAAGCTCAGACACCAGCAGGTGACATTGCCCAGGAAGAGGCTGGACCGCCGCCCAACTCCACGGGGAAACACCGCTTCCTTCCACTGCTCCAGCCAGATTTGGGGCCGTTTCCCGGAAAGGCTACTTTCTGCCCCTCCACTTGCACAGCCTCTCATGAGCTGCCCAGTAAGGGGGCCTGGGCCTGCTAAGTACCCTGCACATCGTATACATCACTGCTGCCATCGTAGCGTATTACCATAGTGCGTGTGTCGGCTTCCCTCAGCATCCAAAAGAGCTTCTGCCGGATAACATCCGGGCCATTTGGGACTAGAGTTTTGTGACTCAAGGGTGATCTCTTGGGATGTCCCTCCATGACCTTGGGAATCTTTCTGTGGTCTACTCAGTTCATCTGCCTTTCTTGGCTAACAGCTGAGGGCCTCGCCCTTCACACACAACAGAGTGCAGTCTCTCAGTGGTTAAAGCTGACTGATGCCTTAAGCCAGGCAAAGGAACCCCAGTAGATGGAGAGCAGGGAGCTGGCCACGTTGTGCTTATGGGATCCCGACAGGGAAAATCAGAGGGGCCCTGCATTCTTGATACTCTCTTAGGGCTGTTTCAGGCTGAGATCTCAGTATTTAGTTGGAAGCCCACACTGTCTCCTAAAGTTCAAAAAAGGACCCTAGGCTAGCGAGACAAAGGCCAGCATCTATGGCGTAAAACCTTAGGACTCTGGGCAACTTACCTAATCTCCTAGTAGTTAACATTTTGTAACACACTTGAGTTCCTCTTCGTACTGTACAAATCCTTCACCTTTTAATGTTTTCTATGACATAAAGTATTAGGCACGAAGTATATTCAGTATTTGTTATTATCCTAAGTATTTCTACTTAAGTAGATTTATTCAGATATTGTAATACAAGCAGTGACTAAGATATTAACATAATATCTTTAGCTGTTTGATGAGGACGGTGCTGCAGCACAATGCTGACTAATCCTTGATTTCCTGATCTGAGAATCTTCTCAGTAGCCCACCCTAGTGCATATTCTTTCTCAAAGTGTCCGGGGTCTCCCGTGCTTCCTGCCACAGGGAGGCTAATGGGCTGAACTGTGTTCGGTGAATTAGTGAAGACTGTACATAGAAGCTCTGTCTAGGAAGGAAATCTTTCTACAGGCTTCGCTGAGACGAAAAGTAAGACTTGCTCAGATCCTGTTTGTCGCCCGACACAATGGAGGGACCCCTCTGCAATGGCAGGCTAAAAGGAAAGGCCTGCTAGAGCAGCTCTTCCTGAAGCCCCACCCCCTCCCCACGTGCACCCATTTCCCCTGAAGCTCCCAGACCAGGAGGGAGGTCTCACCCTCTACCTTCCAACAATTCCTGTACCTTTGCCTTTGGCCTTATAATAAAATTAGAGCCTGGTGTGGCAGCCCATGCCTATAATCCCAGACCTTGGGAAGTAAAGCCAGGGGAGTCAGGAGTTCAAGGTCATCCTCAGCTATATAAAGAGTTCAAGGCCAATCTGAGCTATAGGAGACCCTGTCTCAGAATACAAATAAACAAACTGAACAGCAATAACAGTGATGAATGATTTAACACAAAGAAAACTGGACAGGCTCCATCTTTAACTGGTTCTTTTATAGGTTTTTCTTCCCCAGATTTCTCGAGATTTCCAGAAGGCTCCACCCCTTATTGGCTTATCTGGCATCTTTAAAGGAGCCAACAAACACAAGAAACAGAAACTTCAATGCCAAGAGGGAGAGGGGAGGTGTACCTGCGGCTGGCTGTCTTGTTCTCCCAGGGAGTTGAACATTTCCGCCGACACTCTGAAGCAGTTCTCCCCTGCAATCAGCCAAGGAAAGTTCCCAGAATGAGAGGCTTGGTGGCCAAGGTTGTTTGGTAAAGAAATATGTACCGCTTGGACCTTAAAAACATTTTACATGAGTGCACGTGTGTGTGTGTGTGTGTGTGTGTGTGTGTGTGTGTGTGTGTGTGTGTAGATCAAAGAGGACTTTGAGGAGTTGGTTCCTTTCTTCCCTTTATATGGGTTCCAGAGATCCAACTCACATAACCTGGCCTGAATGGAAAACACTTTCACCTACTACGGCATTTCACTGGCCCCCTAAGGTCGGTCTTTTTAAAAATAAACACTGAAAATGCCTTGTGGTATTGTATTCCCCCAAATATTGTGCATTTTAATAAACTTATCTGGGGTCAGAGACAGAACAGCCACAATATTAAACATAAAGGATAGGCAGTGGTAGCACACGCCTTTAATCCTAGCATTCCAGAGGCAGAAATCCATGTGTTCAAGGATACAGCCAGGCATGGTGACTCATCACGCCTTTAATCCCAGAAAGCGAGCCTTTAATCCCAGGGAGTGGTGGTAGAAAGCAGAAAGGTATATAAGGTGTGAGGACCAGAAACTAGAAGCATTTGGCCTGGTTAAGCATTCAGGCTTTTGAGTAGCAGTTCAGCTGAGAGCCATTGGGATGAGGACTCAGAGGCCTCCAGTCTGAGAAACAAGATCAGCTGAGAAGTTGGCCAGGTGAGGTTAGCTGGGGCTTGTTTTGTCTCTCTGATCTTCCAGAGTTCACCCCAATACCTGGCTCAGGTTTGATTTTATTAATAAGATTCATGCTACACCGCCTTGAGCAAATTTCAGACATGTAGATCTTCTAGGAAGGGCGCTTAGCATGCTCTGGAGACCAAGTGCAAACTGCCTCATTTGTGGTCATTGATTTGTGGTCATTGATCACAGCGGGGGGTCAGGATGAGTCCCTGATTCAAACGCACTGAAGAGCTGGGCTCAGGCAGGCGTGAACAGGGAGGAACTGGCTCTGTGACTTGGACTGCTCTCTAAAGGAGGCTGCTCCTCGGGGTGGGAGAGACGGCTCAGCTGTTGAGAGCTTATCACTCATTGCAGAGGACCACGGGTTCCCAGCACCCACATGGTGGCTCACAACCATCTGTAACTCCAGTTCCAGGGGATCTGATGCCTCTTCTAACATCTTCAGGCTCCTGCACAAATATGCTGTGCATAAACTCACTCAGCCACACGCTCTTACACATAAATTTAAAGTGAATAAGGAGAGTATATTATTACACAGCAAATGTAACAACAGTGATCACATAAGAAAGATGTTACCAGTGGCTGATATGTGAAATTAATTATAAAATATTAAAAAAAGAAAGATGTTACCAGTGTCAATATTTTCAGAGTGGTTGTGGTACTGTTTAAAGTTTCTCCGAATTTAAAAATCACCCCCCAAGGGCTGGAGGGATAGACCAGCCATTAAAGGCTGGGCTCACAACCAAAAATTGCCCCCAAAGGAGCACATATAATTTTTATAATCAGAATATTTGATTAATAAAAAAAATTGGAGGAGGCTGGAGAGCCGGCTCAGTAGTTAATTGTATTTGCTACTCTTGTAGAGGACAGAAATTCAGTTCCCGGCACCTACATAGTGCTCACAATCGTATGTAACTCCAGTTTCAGGGGATCTGGTGCCACTTCTAGCTTTCATGGACAACTACATGCGTACACACATAGTTGAAAATAAATGAAATTTCAAAATAAACAAAAAATTTGAAGGAGCCAGGCATGATGGTGCATGCCTTTAAACCCAGCACTTCGGAGGCAGAGGCAGGTGAATCTCTGATTTGGAGGCCAGCCTGGTCTACAGAGCAAGTTCCAGGCTAGCCAGAGCTACATAGGGAGGCCTTGTCTCAAATAAACAAGAAACTGAAGGAAACCTTCTGCTGGTCCCATCTACCTTTCCTAGGTAAGAAAACAGAGGTCTGGATGAGCTCCCTTCCCAGGTAAGACAAGGAACGTGGCTGGAGCATCCCAGGCTGAGGCAGCACATGGTGAAGGAATTCAGGCGCAGTGGGAGCCTGGACTTAACCGGCGATAGAGAAGGACTATGAACACTTGGCCAAGAAGCCTCTCACATAGCAGAGAACCTTGATCAAGAAAGTTCTGGAAAAAAAAATCCGGCATGGTGCCTTTGATCCCAGCACTTGAGGCAGAAGCAGACTGATTTCTGTGATTTCAAGGCCAGCCTGGTCTACACAGAGAGTTCCAAGACAGCCAAGGCTATGTAGAAAGACGATGTCTCAAACAAAACAAAACAAAAGAATGTCCTGGGAAATCCTTTGAATCTAGCTACCCACATCTCTAAGTAAAAGCAGACACAGCCAGAACAGAGTTAAGACCCTCCTATACAATAACAGTGTGCTCATTTCTTTTGTTTGTTTGTTTTTTGAAACAGGGTTTCTCTGTGCAGCTTTGGTGCCTTTCCTAGAACTCACTCTGTAGACTAGGCTGGCCTCGAACTCACAGAGATCTGCCTGCCTCTGCCTCCGGAGTGCTGGGATTAAAGGCGTGCGCTACCACCCGGCCTGTGTGCTCATTTCAAATACTCCCATGGGGCTTTTGCAAATTCTTCTTGTCTTTCAGAGAGCAGCTGAGGTGACAAGTGACCACTGAACTTTTGTCCTGATATTAGGACGTGGTAGAAGGCGGAGAAAGAGGGCATGAGGAAACGCAGCAGTTCGTCATCAAAGAAACGTATCTGCAAGCATTACCATCCGAAAAGGAAACTGGCAGCTCTGCCGCTTCCTCAAGGCTCATGCTTCTCCCTGAATTAAAAAAGAAGAACTTGATCAGAAACAGCCATGACTCTGAGGGCTCTGCCATCTCGAAGCCATCGGCTAGCTACCTCTGCTGGATAGTTCATAGTCCTCGATCCTCCCCAGCAGGCTCTTTTTGACCCGGAAACAGATCAATCTCAGGGCGTCCAAGTTGTCTTCCGACAGGATGAGCCTCTTCTCCATTTCCACGAAAATGTCAAGCAAGCTCTGGGGAGGAGAAAGCAAGGGGACAGACAGGTGCACAGGCCTGAGGGTTAGGGTTTTGTTTCCTCAATTCCACTCCTTCCAAAGCAAGGGCCCAGCCTTATTTCCCAAGTAGACCGCCCCCCCCCCCCCAACCTCTGAGCACGTGCTGATCTCTCCGAGTTGACAGTAAGCAGGGAGGCCATTCTGTGTTGTCTAGACTAAAAGGATAAAAAATGGAAAGAGAGAGAAGCCATGTCAGAGGTTGCCAGTCCCCAGGCCTTGTTCTCAAACTGTATGTGGATGCCTTCATCGATGGCCCCGCCCAAGGAGTACGGAAGGGACAGCCCTGGGGACTGCATTATATCTGGCATTGCCCCGGTACCTCATCCACCTCTAAACCTCAATTAACCTCAATATACAGAGACACATGCACCAAACACAGAGATCACACACACACACACACACACACACACACACACACACACACACACACACACACTAAACAAGTGCACAGAGATACACTTGGACAAAGCATACATCAAAATTAGACCATACACCACACAGCACACACACACACAGAAACCCACACACATAGGTACTACACATATATAGACTCAGACCAATAGAGAAACCACCCAGAGGTACATACCACACACACTGGTACATATGCCACACATATACATAAGAAACATGTACACAATAGACCCAGCATGTAGACACTGACACATACATCACACAACCTACTCATAAAGACACACACCACACACTGGGGGGGGGGATAAATAAACAAGGTGAAGTTTCAAGGGCAGCAGAAGGGAGGGAGGTGTGACCCCAGGCTACCTTTCCTCCCTGGCCCTGCTATGTGGTGATAATATTGTTTGTAATCTAGGAAATAAAGCTTGCCTGAAGATCAGAGGTCAGAACAAGCCACAGAGTTAGCCACAGAGGCCAGGCTGTGGTGGCACACACCTTTAATCCCAGCACTAGGAAGGTTGAGACAGGAAGTGATGTGGCTGGACAGAGAAAGGAATGTAAAGCAGGAGGGGACAGGAACTCGGACTCTTTCAGGCTGAGGAGTTGGTGAGGTAAGACAGGGTGGCTGTGGCTTGCTCTGCTTCTCTGATCTGTTCTGGTGGAAGCCCTACCTCTCTGCCCAGACCCTGGCCCTCAGAAAGTCCCTCCAAACACGGCTCCTCCCCAAGAGATGCTCAAGACCACTCCCACAGGGTATTTAAACTGCACCCCAGAAAACAGACATGTGGTTTTCCGGTCTCTCATCTCTGTCCCTGTCTCCGCTTTGGAGGAGGCCAGAGAATCACCCAGGAATGCTTTACGCATTAAACCGGGGCTTTTTCTAATTTGGTCTGATTTGGTGTGATTTGGATTGCTGTGTCAGAGAGGCTTATTGGAGTGCAAAATGATCTTTCGTGATCTTTCAGCTTTCACCTTGATGTCAGGCTCCGGGTTGCTGTGGGATGTTCTGTATGGCAAATGTGTTGCTCTGATTGGTCAATAAATAAATCACTGATTGGCCATTGGCTAGCAGGAAGTATAGGCGGGACAAGGAGGAGAATTCTGGGAAGTGGAAGGCTGAGTCAGAGAGACACTGCCAGCCGCCATGATGACAAACAGCATGTGAAGATGTCGGTAAGCCACGGCCATGTGGCAAGGTATAGATTAATGGAAATGGATTAATTTAAGCTGTAAGAACAGTTAGCAAGAAGCCTGCCACGGCCATACAGTTTGTCACCAATATAAGTCTCTGTGTTTACTTGGTCGGGTCTGAGTGGCTGTGGGACTGGCAGGTGACAGAGATTTGTCCTGACTGTGGGCCAGGCAGGAAAACTCAAGCTACACCGGGTTTTTATTAGGACCAATTAGGATTTGTGCAACACTGCCAGACCCCCTGTGTGGTGGCACTGCACTACTTGACTTCTCTGGCTCCTGGCTCTGCCCCGGGGCTAAGCAACAGCACTTTACAGTGTAGAGGCATCAAAGCCGTAACCACTAACCCTGCCTAGCTACTTTATCTTCCCGGGGTAAGAAGTGTGAACACAGGGGTTAAGGTACAGCTCAGTTGGAAGAGCGCTTGCCTATCATACAAAAAGCGCTGAATTCCATCCTGGAACCACAAAAACGGGGAGTGGTGGCATAAGCCAGTAATCCCAGCACCCAGGAGGGGAAGGCAGGAAGATCAGAAGTTTGTCATCCTTGGCTACGTAGCAAGTTTGGGTTCACCCTGGGCTCCATGATACCATGTCTCAAACAAACAAACAAAAACAACCTTGAATACTGTTTGTTGTTGGCAGAACAGGCCCCTCTGGTCTCACGACCCCCACTGCTGACCCATCTTGAGGACATACCAGGTCTTCTTACCGTGTTATCATGCAGCTTATATTTGGGGATCTTTTCTTCCAAAAAAAACTTAAACTCTTTCAACTCTGATGTGACTACATCTTCCGAGAGCTTTAAGAGCATGACCCTGTGGTGGGAAATGAAGACACTTTAGAAACACGTTCCAGATCATTTCCTGTCACTACACAAAGTTACAGCAGGCCTCGATCCCAGGGCCTCCTTAAAACAGCCACCTATTCCCAACTGGTGAGCCTCAGCAGAAAGCTGGGTAGTGATGGATGACCGAGTCAAGCCAACCAGCCCACCCTGAGCCAAGTCCTACCACCTTTGCATTCCAAATAACTTCGGCTAAAAGAATCACACTGCTCCTATGTCATTATAAAAATCAATTCCAGGTGGGATGATGATTTGGGGGAATTATATTCTCCACAATGCACATCAGAGCTGATTCCCTTCTAAGACCTGATCAGTGTCCCAGCCATTTCCTTCAGGAAAAAGGCTGAACATTGGGTTCTAGAATACAAGGGACTCTAAACACACACACACACACACACACACACACACACACACACACGCACACACGCACACACACACACGCACACACGCACACACGCACACACATGCACACACACACCTCCGCTCTCGCCAATACCAAGGTCCTGAAGCTCTCAACACAACCAAGTACCCTGTGTTCTTCCCACCCTAGATTCCCTTGTCCGGCTGCACATGTCCACATGTCCACTGCCCCTGCAATCACATGTTGCCCAAGCATCCTCAGGGCTCTTTTCTCTCACCGAACCTTCATTAGTTTCCCACAAGAAAGATAACTCACGTATTACAACAGGCTGGTCATAAACCACCCAGGTCCCCGGACAGCCTGGACCATGCCCTTTTCATTTCTATTAATATGAGATTTGTGAGGTGCAGTGTTTGAGGACAGAGGCCTCCCGACTACCCTTGTTATAACTCTGGGTCCCACCATCTTTGAACTCTGCAATTTTAGGCATGTTACACATTTTTTTGCTCATCTGTAGGATGGGAGATAAATGTATGTCTACATCACAGACAGGTGTGAATTACATAAGTTTCCATGGACTACAGTCACATGTCACCTCAAGGTGGGTGCACGTTCTGAGATCCTCATCAAATGATTTCTTCATTTTGTGAACATCACAATGTACTCTTAAACTAAGAGTTCTATGACATCACTAGTGAGGTAGCATAACCTCCCAGGACCAACAACACATACACAATCCATCATTGCCCAAACAGTTAGGCAGCACATGAAAGAAAGCACACTAAGAGTTCAGTAAGTGATAGAAGCTGTCTTAGGGTCTATTGCTGTGAAGAGAGACCATGACCACGGCACCTCTTATAAAGGAAAACATTTCATTGGGGTTTCAAAGATTTAGTTCATTATCATCATAGTGGGACATGGCAGCATGCAGGCAGACATGGTGCTGGAGAAGGAGCTGAGAGTTCTACATCTTGATCCACAGGTAACAGGAAGTGAACTGTGTTACTGGGTGTAGCTGAAGCATAGCATACCTCAGAGCCCACCCCCATAGTGACACATTTCCTCCAACAAAGCCACACCTACTCCAACAAAGCCACATCTCCCATTGGGGGCCATTTTCTCTCAAACCACCACAGAAGCATTGTTATTTCTGGGCACAATTAAGACCTTGGAAAATGCTGGCCAAATGAGTAAACAAAAGAATGTTTTAGAAGTCAGAAAAACTTGGGATGAAGACATAGCTCAGCTGCTGGGAGCCCATGATACTCTTGCAGAGGACCAGAGTTCAGTTCTGGTTATCCAAATCAGGCAGCTCACAACCAGCTGTAACTCCAGTTGCAGGAGAGGCAAGGTTTCTGGCCTCTGAGGGCACCTGTCCTCACACACACATACCCAAACACAGACAAGTAATTAAAAATAAAAATAAGTAAGTCTTTAAACTTTTTGCAAAAAAAAAAAAATAAGTCAGCAAAACTTTCAAGAGTATTGTGTAAAGGAAAATAACTTTAATAGGCAAATATGCTGGTTTCCAAGTCGAGTTAGGAAATAAAATTCTGGAAAAAGAAATAGTATAGAAACAGAAGATACCTCGTGTTACCATCATCTCAAGAAATCTCTATCTCAGAAATACTTCCCTAAAGCATTCTCAGTTTGGCCAAGATTGGTCCAGCCCAAAGCTACTGTAGCCCTTTTAACTTCAGTACATCCTGTTCCTGTTGTGTAACAGTTCCCTCAAGATTGAAACATTCTATCCCGCAGGGAAGCTCCTCGAGCAGGAAAGTAAACAACTCAAAATAGCTTCAGGAAGTCCCTGAAACTGACCAGATTCACTTAGTCACTCCATGCCAGCGTAAGCAATAAAAGCTGAACATCCGCCTCAAACTGAAGAAAGCTTAGCTTCAAAGTCTCCGAGACTAGACCAGCTGCCTGGAAGAAGCAGAAACCAGGTGGGCTGCCTGGAAGGTTTAGACCAACTGAGGCACCTGGAAAGGACATTCTCCAACCTGTTGAGTGGCCTGCAGGCTGTTCAGTGAGCTCCAGGTTCCCAGCTTTGTGAGCTGTCACCCATGCTGGGGTGAGCTTTGGTGATGCAGTTGTCTTTGAATCATTTCTGCTCCTGTAAGTAAACCCTCACCCACATTCCTGTAAGTGACCCCTCACCCATGTTCCTGTGACTAACCCCTTACCCACATTCCTGTAAATAAACCCCCACCCACATTCCTGTAAGTCACCCCAATGAAACTATTGGTTCACCAAGTTGGACTTTGGTGGTATCTGTATTTTGGTCTGTCCCCTATGTAGGGTGAGCAGACGTGTGTGTTGTGTCTCCCCAGGAAAAGTTGTATCACACAACAGTCCCTTTATCTTCCTTTTTATTGAGACCCACAGGCTTCATTAACATTATCAGTAACAAACTGGGATAGTTCCTCAGACACTGTAGAGGCAGAAGTTTTAATCTGAAAACAAAACACCTTGAGTTTCCTTATGGTGGTAAGTCACCTCACATGTGTATTTTTTATTCTCCTGGCTCCTATTAGACAATGGTGAACAAGCATTCAGTGGCGACCCTTTGCTGACCCTTCGGTGTGCGATCAGAGAGGTTAGGTCTTCGACAGTTCCCGTCCTGGTCGGGGGACTTAAAATACTGCACTAGGAGGGTGATGAACACTGTCTGGCATTGTGGCCTCAGCCTAGTTCACAGGGCAGGAACTTTTAGGAGCCCAAGAACGTGGCAGAAGTTGAGGACACACACACACATACACCCCTGACTTTCCTAGTTCTGGGGCCATCATTTCTTATGATGAATAGGTGCCTTAGTAAACAAACTTCTTATAAAATTCACAATTCTAGCAAGCCCGAACAATACAGCATTCCTGGTTGACTCATATCCATTAGTCCCCTCAGAAGTCATTGTATAGCTAGACTGTGAGGAAGTGGCCTAATTAATATCATAATGGATGAGGGTGGGGCCCAACCCAATGTCTGGTATCCTAATAAGAAAAAGGAAACATCGAGACCAGCAGCTTAGAGAGAACATCTGTAAGACAGGAACCGGAGGCCGGAAGCCCACTGTTCCTCAGATCTCCAAAGACGAGCCAATCCTGTTAGCACCCGGATTTCTGACTTTTTTTTCTCTCAAGGTTTCTCTGTGTAGCCCCTACTGCCCTAGAACTCGCTCTGTAGACCAGGCTGGCCTCAAATTCAGAGATCCATCTGACTACCTCGGCCTCCCAAGTGCTGGGATTAAAGGTGTGTGCCACCACATGAGGCTAAGTTAATGTTTTAAACACTCAGTCTGTGATACTTTATTACGACGGCCCTAGGAAAATAAAACACCCAGTGTCAATATCGGAACAGGCAAGCCTGAAGTAGGAAGCTGTATAACAAGGAAAGCGTGGCTGCCAACGCTGCCTGTGAGGCTCTCCCATGCCAAGGTTACTACAAACCAGGAGTGATGACAAGAAAGGCTATTGCAAGGCTTAAATAGAAATGTGGGGCTGGAGAGATGGCTCAGAGGTTAAACGCACGGGCTGCTCTTCCAGAGGTCCTGAGTTCAATTCCCAGCAACCACATGGTGGCTCACAAACCATCTGTAGTGAGATATGGCGCCCTCTTCTGGCCTGCAGGCAGAACACTGTATACATGATAAATAAATGTTAAAAAAAAGAAATATTGTAAGAGAAGAACTAAAACTCACTTCAAGGACCGCTGAGCACAAGGCACCTTGAAAAGGAGAAGGGGACAAAGTGTTCTATTTTAAAACCTTGTCACAGAACCATGACCTTGTAACCATGCGGAGCTTGTTTCCAGAGCTCACAGTTACCCGCTCTCCCTAGGGTGGGGAGAAGTTGGGTTTCACAATGCCGAAGGGATCTGGAATGACTGAGAAGATGGGTCTCTGGGCAGGTCTGTAAGGGGGTTTTTAGATTGGACTCCCTGAAGTAGGACAAGCCTGGCACCCTTAGGGGGCCATAGTCCCAGACAGCGTGAAGAGGAAAATGAGATGATCACCAGCTTTTCGTCTCTCTCTACCTCCTGACTGCAGAGACAACATGAGCAGCCTGCTACCCCGGCTCCTGTCGCCATGGCTACATCATGATTGATTAAATTATAAGCCAAAATAAACACTTCTTTCTTTAGATCGCTTTTGTCACAGCACCAAGAAACATAACTAACACACATGGCCTGTTCTCCAAAGACAGTGCAGGACTAGAGTTCAGCTGGGCTTACAGGAGTGAAGCCGTCTGGAGGGCCAGGCCGCATGGGAGAACCCTGTCATCTGAGCAGTGAAGCCACGGAGAGGTCCTAGATGCATGCATGAGCAGGTGGGAGAGGTGGTCGGTGTGGGAAGCAGTGAGGCCCTAACCAGAGACAAGTAAACACGTGTCTCGGTTGTCAGGAAGCAGGAACCACCAAGATGGGAGCGTCACGGATGGGTGACTCTGCCTTCTTATTAAACCAGGGCAGTAGTCCCGGTTCTTATGTCCCCAGGAAAAGAATTTACCCTGAGGCACAGGTAAGGGGATCAAGTATTCACGGCTTATTTCAGCAGGTAAGAAAACATGGCTGAAAGTGAGCACACTTCCAGAGTTCTCCATTTCCGCTCCCCTTGCCCAGCCCAGGGGCAGTCTGGGGGGGGGGTCCTTTCTTGGAGTAGACTGAGGCGCTCTTAGAATACCGCCTTGTTGTCCTTTTCCCTGGTAAACTTAATAACTTTGTAATTAGTCACACATTGATACATGAGTTTGCATCTAATGTAATACACTCTAACAGACGGAACTGTGGGTATTGACTTGTGGTGGTTTGAATGAGAAGTATCCTTCACAGGCTTATGTACACTTGGTCCCTTGTCTGGAGAGGCAGTGGAACTTTTAGAGTGTAGAGTCTTGCAGGAGGAAGTACATCAGTAAGGACAAGCTTTGGGGGTTTATAACCTTGCCTCACTTGCAGGTCACACTTCCTGTTTCCTGTGTGCAGGGGAGATGTGAGTTCTAAGCTTCCTGGTCCTGCCTGGTGCCAGCTTGGGGCTATGCTATTATTTGCCTCCTGAAACTATAATCTAAAATATACTCTTCTGCTGTGGGATTTGTTTACACTGTGTGAAGATGTGTCTGTGTTTTGCCTTACCTGCCTAAGGCACCCGATTGGTTTAATAAAGAGCTGAATGGCCAATAGCTAGGGGGTTTGCATGAATCTAGGCTTGCAGGGGATACCAGCCAGACATGGAGGAAATGGGAGATACAGAATGGAGGAGAGGTAAAAAGCCAAAGTGACAGAATGTAGATTAATAGAAACAGATTTCAAGTTATTTAAGAGCTAATTGGGAACACGCCTAAGCCAAAAGCCAAGCTTTCATAATTAATAATAAGTCTCTGTGTTATTATTTGTGGGTTGGGGGTCCAAAAAAGGGTCTGACAACAAAGACCAACTACATTCAATGTCCAACACATGGCACGTAAATCCTGAGAAAGGGCCTGAGAAAGCTGAAAAAAGGTTCTGAATACAGAGCCAGACACAGTTTGCCAATAACAGCAGTCTCCCGTGCAATCCTGGTGCTTGCGCGTATAGAGGCAGGGCTCCTTTAAGAGGCTCTGCTGTGCAGCTGAGCACTTGAATGGTGCTCTACTAGACAGAAGGGAAGACTAGACTGAGACAACTACCACAGTGCAGGCCCAGAAACTTACCATAGCTCAGGCTGATAGATGTGGTTGGGGGGTGGGGGAAAGACGACACAAGCATGAGGCTTGGCTCTCCTCCACCCAAAATGGACAGAGCCAGCTGCCAGTGCCATGTGCTATGTGGAGCCCTGTGGCAGGTGGCCCAGCGGTTTAAAGTTTGGCTCACTTGATCAGAGAAACTGCAGACACACACACACACACACACACACACACACACACAGCCAAATCTAGGCTGAGAAAACCTCTGAACAGGTACAGTATGCTTAAAAATGTGTTTAGGTGCTAAAGAAAAAAGAAAATGGGTACAGTCATAGAAAAAAATAAAGTTTAAAAATAATAAAGTCTTTAAAGAAAGAGTAAAGTAATATAAAAAGAATAAGCCATGTAAGGATGGGAAATATTCTAACATAGTACATTTGGACCCCATATAACACTTTGTTAACTTTAAATTTTTTAAATACTAATGAGCAAAAAACAACAGCTGCTAAGAGACATTAGATTATGGAAACTGCTAAATTGAACCAGCCTATATATTTTAAAGATGTTTTTACTTCAGAATGGAAGTCAGGAAATGTGTTGTGTTGAGAGAGAGGTTATGCCTTTGTTTCCACAGAAATTGAAAAGCTATGGATTTCTTCAAAATTAATAAAGGTCAGATTTGACCGAGGGAGACCTCCTGAAAATCTTGACTATTGACATAAAGGAAGAAACCAAGAAAAACTACAAGACAGATGATGTATGTGCTGGTCCCTCTATATGGGTACAGCTCTCAGACTGTATGAGACATGATAAATCTTAGCTACAGAGTCCTTATGACTTATTATTACATGCCATCCTTTCATATAGCATGAATGGAGATTTATATTATAGTTTGGTTATGTAATCCAGAGGGACTTACGAAGTTGACAGATGTCTTTCATCTGCTCAATCACAGAACAGAGAATCATCTTTAGATGGTTTGTACACACCACACATTATATACTTGTGTTAATGAAGATATGTATATTACCTTTACAAGTTTGTATGTTTTCAGAAAAAAATAAAAAATGACCAGCTACCAATGAAAACAAGTAGCCCAAGTGATCCAGCCTCTCAGATTGCTTCTGTTATAGTTTCCTCAACAATCTCCATTCATAACAACTTCAAAGCTGCTAGCTGAGATGGTCCAACCTCACAGACGACTCCAGCCAGGACTTCAGATACGCCCTGCACATTCCCATCACACTGAGACTGGACAACAGCTAGCTCTCCAAGGACTTGACCATTATCCCAATTTCCTCAGGGTCCCCTAAAGATGCCATCACCCCCTGACAACAGGAAGTAACTTTAAGAACACGACGCCCACATTCCCAAGAGGTGGGGTGGGTAGTTTCTGGTCATTTGATGTGTTATGGATGTTTGTCCTTGTTTAGTGGAGTTAGTTGCAAGTTGTTATTGATCATGGTCAGGGAAAAAAACTAAGCAAAGGAGATTAGATTTAGGGATCTCTTTCTGAAAAGAAAAAAAGGGGGATCTAGGAATAGTAGAATAAAAGGGTAGATTATTGAATCTACTTTTAACCTAAAAAAACTATTAATCTCAAATATTTTACATTGATATAGATTTTTGTATATTGATACAAATTTAAGGTTATTTTGTTATAACATATTTATATATGTTTCTACTCTTGTTTAAGGTGTGTTTATATATTGATACAAATTTAAGGTTATTTTTGTTTCAACATACTGTAAGATATTGTACCTATGCAGTTCATTTTAAAATATAATGTAAAGTTCTAGTGTTTGAAAGCTATTATTATAAATTATTTAGGATAATTAAGAAATACAGGTTAGTAATTAGCTATCTATAACAATCAAACTTGTAGTCATGTTAGGTTTGTTTTCAAGGTGAAACAGATATATTTTAGATAGATGATCTTCAAACACTTCAGAGACCTACAGAACGTGGCATTTAAGATGTTTTAATAACATAAGGCTTTTCATGAGAGTGAGACACATCTGCTCCTGGCGGCACCAGTATACTTCAGAGAAGATGATGGACATCAAAGAACCTCCATGTGGAGTTTGCTTTCATTTATGGTAAAGTTAGTCACTGGGCAAGAAACTGCCCTTGCCTCAACTGCTAACAGTGTGCTGTCCAAATTGGACAAGCAGGACACAAAAGAAAGTGACTGCTGAATTTTGCCAAGACAAGGTAGGACAGTCCTTCAAAAATTCCTGCTTCACAGAAAAGTCTGTCAGATATTCTAGGCCTGTAGGCTGAAGATGGATACCCCAACATTGCAAAGGAAACTTGGGTGACTGTCCAGGCAGTCAGATGTCTCTGTCATTTCTATAGTTTTGGAAGTTGTTTGCTCCAAACTTCCTGTTTACCCAGGTAATATTTTATCCTTCTCAGGTCTCTGGTGGAGTTGAAGACTAGATAGAGTTTTACGGCTTTCTTTGTTACCAAATTCAAAAGAGAAACTTACAAAAAAGATGTAAAGTTTATAAAGGTTGAGAGACATAAAAGCTTAAGTAGTTTTTTTAAGAAAATGTTTTAAGGTCTAAAAGGATATTTTTAGGCTGGTAATACAAGTTATGATCGTAAGTGGTTTAGGTAAAAACTTTGTATTCATCAAGATAGGATAAATAATAGAGGGTTTTCTCCAAATTTGCCAAATACAATGGACTAGATATTGTGAATATAATCCTTACTTGGTAATTGTTCTGACTGTATACAGTTTTACTGTGTTAGAGTTTAAACCTTTCCTTTTTATTTAGACAAAAAAAGGGAAATGTTGCAGTATACTTGTTTATACTACTTGAAGATATGTCTATGTTTTGCCTCCCCTGCCTAAGGCACCTGATTGGTTTAATAAAAAGCTGGAGGAAGCCAAATCCTTTCTCCTCCCCAGTACTCCCTTTTCTGTGCCATACTGCATAATAAAAAAAATTGTTTTTACGGCTTTAGCATTTTTCTCAGAATCATATATTTAGCCCAGAGTCTTACGAGTCACTTCATAATGTGGACCCCAGCAGCAGCACCCACAGTCCCTTCAGCCCATGCTTCCCAGCTCCCCGCCCCACCCCCTCCCCCCCCCACCTCCCCCCCCCCCACACACACACAGCATTTCTACCCACCTGTAGGGAGAAACTTTGGCTCTGTCTAGAACCTGCAGCTCCCTCACCATCTCCTCCTTGCTGGTGTTTAGGAACTTGGTCAGCAGGTCCAGCCGATTGATGAGGAAAAGCAGCTCCTTCAGGAAGGACAGATGGCCTTCCTCCAACAGTCCCCTTTCCTGCAGTCCCTGAAATAGCATCAGGGCATCCTTGATGGGCTCCTGCTTCCTCTGCGGGATGTGGTCCAAACACAGGAACTTGAGGGAGGCCAGTTCATCACTGTCCAGGTGTTCAGCAATTTTGTAAAGGCAGCTGCTGAAATCCATTCCTTTCAAGAGGTAGGAGAGGGGTGCCCTAGGTTGACACATGATACCGTGATCAAGGGAGGAAGAGAAGTGCCAGCTACCAGCTTGTTTCTTGTCAAATACTAACTGCATCTACTATGTTCCAGACATTTCAGAGGGAAGAAATGGAGACAGTACCTTCCATCACTAAGCTGACGTCAAAGTAAGAGTATTTTGAGCTGGGTATGGTCACTCACCCTCTAAGGCCAGCACCGACGATTCAGAAGCAGGGGGATTGCCACAAGTTCAAAGTTTACTTGGTCCACATAGCAGTCCCAGGGCAGTTAGGTTTATATAGCAAGACTCTGTCTCAAAACATCAAAACAAACAAACACAGAGATAAATAATAAGGATGGTTTTTTTATTCTCACATTAGAATAGTTTTCTTCTTCTTTTTTTTTTTTTTTTTTTGGTTTTTTGAGACAGGGTTTCTCTGTGTAGCTTTGCGCCTCTCCTGGAACTCACTTGGTAGCCCAGGCTGGCCTCGAACTCACAGAGATCCGCCTGGCTCTGCCTCCCGAGTGCTGGGATTAAAGGCGTGCGCCACCACCGCCCGGCTCTTCTTCTTTTTTAATAGCCCAAATGACTTATAGTTTTTCCTTTCAGAAGTGCCTTTCCCCTCCCTGGGTCTAGAAACTGTTGATTTCTGTGTGTAAAAATTCAAAATATAGCAAGTTAAAATATGGTCACATTATTGCAATCATTTGCCACTCACACATTCACCCACAAGGACACAGGTTAAAAAAAACTGAAATCAGACTTCATATGTAAATAGGTACAGCCATTGTTGGTTTTTATTTCCTTGATATTGATAATGAACAATAATGTTCTACGCAGCACATTTTTATGTTTCTTGGTTCATTTCATGTAGACACCATGGGACTTACTGGAAACAACAGTCTCTATCATTGCCTTTCTTTGTTTTCACCTTTTTTATTAAGAAATCATGGACTCAGTTTAACTTTAAAAATAATAATAATAATCAGGGATATGTAGAAGATGAAGGAATTGTCTGAGTGTGGTGTTATTCTGACAATGGATCTTGTCCAATCATAGATCCCCTTCTCTTCCCTCCTTCTGCCCCCCCCCACAGCCTTCCCCCACAACCCACTCCCCATTCCCTCCTCTGAAAGGTGAGGCCTCCCATGGGGAGTCAACAGAGCCTGGTACATTCAGTTGAGGCAGGTCCAAGTCTCTACCCCTGCATCACGGCTGTGCAAGGTGTCCCACAGGTAATGGACTCCAAAAATTCAGCTCACACACCAGAGATAGATCCTGATCCTACTGCCAGGGGCCCCTTAAGCAGATCAAGCTACACAACTGTCTCGCTTATGCAGAGGGCCTCTTCCAGTCCCATGGAGGCTCCACAGCTGTTGGTCTAAAGTTCATGAGTTCCCACTAGCTTGGTTTGGTTGTCTCTGTAGGTTTCCCCATCATGATCTTGATGCCCCTTGCTGATAGAATCCCTCTTCCCTCTCTTCGACTGGACTCCTGGAGCTCAGCCTGGTGCTTGGCTGTGGATCTCTGCATCTGCTTCCATCAGTTACTGGACGAAGACTCTATGATTACTGGGGTAAGCCATCAGGCACCCTCTCCACTATTGCTAGTAGTCTAAGCTGGGGTCATCCTTGTGGATTTCTGGGAACTTCCCTAGCACCAGGTTTCTCCCTATCCCCATGATGTTTTCACTTTTTGAAACAGGTCCCTTAGCAGGCAGTGGTGGCACAGGCCTTTAATCCTAGCACTCAGTGGCAGAGGCAGGCTGATCACTGAGTTCAAGGCCAGCCTGGTCCTAGAGTGAGCTCTAGGACAACCAGGGCTACACAGAGAAACCCTGCCTCAAAAAAAAACAAAAACAAAAACAAATGAACGAATGAACGAAAGACAGATGGAGGGCGGGAGAGAGATCTCATTATGTACTTCAGCTTGGCCTGAAATTCACTGTGCACTAGGCTAGTCTTCCTGCCTTGGCCTTTCAAGTGCTGGGATTCAAGATGTGTGCCATGGTCCGTACATCTACATATCCATTGTCAGAATAACACCACACTCAGACAATTCCTTCATCTTCTACATATCCCTGATTATTATTATTATTTTTAAAGTTAAACTGAGTCCATTATTATTGTGTATTTGTGTGGTGTGAGTATAGGCATGTGTGTGCCAAAGCCAGTGTGTGAGGGTCAGAGGACAAGGCTGTGGGACGTATTCTCTCCTTCCACCTTTACATGGGTTCAGGCGGACAGAGCCCCGGTTAGCAGCCTCGCACAGCAAGCGCTTTATAACCCGCCGAGCCATCTAGCAGGCCCTCTCTCATTCTTTTCTTAATATACTGTTACACTTGTAATTATGAAGCAAAACTTCCTTTGTCTTTTTTGAGCTCAAGATTAGTTAAATGTGTTTAAACAGGTTTTCTTGATTTAGAAAACAACGATCAACATCTTGAAAAGAATTCACTTTATATTTATTTCCCCAAGTTTTTGGACCCTGGCTCTTTCACTACAAAATCGATCAATTACCATGAAAATTCTTTTACCTAAGAAAGGCATTTTGAAGGGCTGGAGAGATGGCTCAGTGGTTATGAATACTGGCTGCTCTTTCAGAAGACTGGAGTATGGATTCCAGCCCCCACATGGTTGCTCACAACTGTAACTCCAGTTTCAGAGGATCTGACTTCCTCTTCTGGCCTCTGTGGGCATCAGGTAGGCATGTGGTGCACAGACATACATGCAGGCAAAAAACAAACAAACAAACAAAACCACCCATACCATAAAATAAAATAAAAATTTTATTAAAAAAGAGGAGGAGGAGGAGGAGGAGGAGGTGGCATGGAGTCACAGTGTACTGGGAGTCTTTGTTCTATGTCGTGCTTCATTTGTTGTTGGTGGTGGTGGTGATGGTGGTCGTGGTGTGTGTGTGTTTAAAGAAAAGCATTTTAAACCCGGCCAGCTCTTAACAGTCACATGTTCAAAGTACAACCAACAAGAACTGCTGGGCACATGAGGGAACAATCGAATAATCCCATTCCTTAAATAAGAATTCCCTGCTGGAGCTAGAGAGATGGCTCAGCAGTTAAGAGCACTTGGAGCTCTCACAAAAGTGAGTTCACGTCCCAGCACCCACATCAGGTGGCTCACGACCGCCTATAACTCGAGCTCCAGGGATCTGACACACTTTCTTCTGACTTCTGCAGGCACCTCCAGTCATGCGTGCGTGCGCGCGCGCGTGCGCGCGCACACACACACACACACACACACACACATCACATACATACACACAGAGAAAAAAGAATTCCCTCTCTATAGAAACGCATGTGTTCAACTAAGCACACAATTCCGTGCACTCCAATGGCAGGCTGGCTAGCCTGGAACAACTCGGTGCACTCCAATGGCAGGCTGGCTAGCCTGGAACAACCTGGTGCACTCCAATGGCAGGCTGGCTAGCCTTGGCTGCATGGCACGCAGCACTTAGCACTACATTCCATTTTCTGCAATAACACCCAAGATGTGTTGATTAGAGTGAAAAACAAATTACAATAAAACAAAAAGTCATACACCTGCTTTTTAGTGATATTCAAAACAAAATGCAGTAGATTTTTCAGAGATAGTCTGTAAAAAGGAAAAGTAGAATCAGGGACGTTCTCAAGCAGACACACCAGACTCATGATGAACATTGTCCCCTGTGTGGCCTGAAGGACCAGGACTTGGGGGTGCAGGAAGGAGAACAGGAGTTTGCCCTTCTTTGCTATAGATGTTCAGGGTAATACACGCAGATATTATTGTAAATGAAAGTGCTGTCTTGGAAGCCAAGCGTGGTGGCTTACCCATACAGTTCGGTTACAAGAGGCTGAGGCAGGAGAATTACCATAGTTTGAGGCCATGTGGGGAGCCCGGTAAATTCCAGGCTATCCTTAACTATTATAACTTCTATAGCATGAGACTCTGCCGTAGAAAAAAGGAAGGAGAGGGTCAGAGAAGAAGGAGAGAGAATATGAAAATGAAAATGAGTAAGGACTGGGTGTGTTCATGTGTTAAAGGCTGTATGGGTATATGTTAAGGAAGTGGACTTCTGGGAAGTCCAGGACAGGGCAGGAAGTGCCTCTCAGGCCAGGAACCAGCACCTGAATGCTCTTAAAAGAACACAAAGTATTGGAAGCCAAGTTCTTAAGAGAACTGGAAACTTGCCTCCCCCCCCCCCCCCCACTCACACACGTCTCAGAGAAACCCAAAGAGTGAACAGACAGGACAGGGGCAGATTCTAGCCGCACACACCCTTCTCTTCCCAGACACACAGTAGTCACAAAAGTGACCACAAGAACAATCTCTGTAGACTCCCCCCAAAGCAGAAACAACTCACAAGATGAATGACCCAACCCTATACACAAAGGGCAGCAAACTTGACTATGATTTTTTTCTTTTCTTTTTTCTTTTTTTAGGGATTTTTAAATTCATTTTACATACCAACCACAGATCCCCCTCTCTTCCCTCCTCCAGCCTCCCCCACCAACCCACCCCCCATTCCCTCCTCTGAAAGGTGAGGCCTCCCACAGGTAGTCAGCAAAGCCTGGTACATTCAGTTGAGGCAGGTCCAAGTCTCTACCCCTGCATCACGGCTGTCCAGGGTGTCCCATAGGAAATGGACTCCAAAAAGCCAGCTCATGCACCAGGGATGGATCCTGATCCTACTGCCAGGGGCCCCCTTAAGCAGATCAAGCTACACAACTGTCTCAATTATGCAGAGGGCCTCGTCCAGTCCCATGCAGGCTCCACAGCTATTGGTCTAATTTCCTGAGTACCCACTAGCTTGGTTCAGTTGTCCAAAGACACTGTTTTAGAACAACTGCTCAAACTTGGAGAGAGGAGGGAGGGACGGAGGAATGGGTCCTAACTGAAATCCTTACATCAGAATAAATGGCAAATGGATCAAAGAGTTGACCCTTTAAAAATCACCGTGCGCGCGCGCGCACACACATGGCCGACATGCACTTGTCGGGGTCAGAAGACAATTTTGTATTATTGGTTCATGTGTAAATGATCTTGCAGTGGTAAAAATAAATAATAGAAAAAGAAAACCTAAGAGCCATTAAAGACAAAAAAAATCTTTTCTTTAATAAGTAAAAATTTTTTGCAAAAAATAATCCAAGTATGGCCCGAGAGTAGGGGAGAAAGAGGCATCAGGATTAACATATAGAAGAAGCCAGTCGGCAAAAAGATCAGAAACTGTTCCCCACCAGGGCTCCATGTTACAGAACAGAGCATGCTTCAGAAAAGCCCCTCGCTCTCTGAGGGGAGATGGCCAGCGCTGCCCCCGCCCCTCGGACCTGTCCCGACACTGAAGCCTACTTCCTCCCACAGCGGAGCCTTTCTCTTTTTTAATACACTTTAAAAATAAAAAAAAAAATCACAATCCATGGTCCGATTCTTTGTTCTCTAGCACAAGAACGTGCACATCTCAACAGGTGCCCTCTGAGACCTCGGACCCTCAGACCCACACCTACAACACACACATAATTTCAAAACGAGCATTTAATATTTTATATATGTCTGACCTACAATATTTCAATGTAAGTCAACGTCTGCGCTATGGCATTTACGTGTTCAGGAGCAGCCACAGCAGCATAAGACATTTCTCTTAACCCATTTTACTAGAAGCCTCTGAAGAAACTGATACCACAGTCTTCATTCTACTGCTCTAAGTCACAACCTAGATCACTTGGTCAGACCTGGGCTCAGATTCACACGTCACTCAAGGACTTCAACAGAAACACGCCAAAAATGTGGAATTTGCCGGGCGGTGGTGGCTCCTGCCTTTAATCCCAGCACTCGGGAGGCAGAGCCAGGCGGATCTCCGTGAGTTCGAGGCCAGCCTGGGCTACAGAGCCAGATCCAGGACAGCCAGGGATACACGGAGAAACCCTGTCTCAAAAAAACAAAAAAACAAAAACAAAAACAAACAAACAAAAAAGTGAAATTCTTGTTAACACCAGCCAACTGAGCTGCTTGGTGAGTTTCAGGCCAGTAAAGACCCATGATAGAGACAGCACATGAAGAAAACACACACACACACACACACACACACACACACACACACACACACACACGCATACCCACAAACATGCACACATAACTCATAAAAGATACACTATTTTATTTTATTTATTATTTATTATTTTATTTTATTCTAATTACTATTGGATGCAACAGAGAAAGACAAATCATCATATTTTGAAATAATCGGTATTTCCAGAAATATTAAAAGCTAAAAAAAAAAAAACAAAAAAAAAACAGGAAAAGGAAGAAGCTGCCCATCAAAGGGAAGCCTGTGGCCGGCCCACTATTGAGGAACAAGCACCCGTGAGAGCTCACCCCGGCTCCACCAAAGCCTCACTTGACTGCATCTGATCACAATCCTTCCTTGCATAATCATCAGACCCTTCTCGCTCCTCCCGTGATTTAGAGGACTACCTATGAGATGGGGCGGGGGCGTAAAATGAAACTTGCTGGAACTTTCCAGGGATGAGAGTTTACATGTCAACCAAAGCCTCTCCCTGGCCAAGTCCTAACTTAGTGCCGCCTGCGCCTCCGGGCAAGCTTGCTCCCAGAACCGGGCTCTAACTAGGCTCTAACTAACGACCCCCCCACACACACACAATCGACAAGCCTCGGCAGGCAGGTGGTAGGAAACACCCCAACAAAGGCAATGTTCAAACCTCCGTGAAAGTACGGCCACACGCACCATTTCCTATTTGAACAGAACTCGTAACTTCCCTTGTAAAGACGCCTAACCTCGCCGCCGGGGCAGATTTCTGAGTTTTTAATCTGTGCTTCCTTATTCCTTCATTCTCTAGACGGTCCTGTTTCTTTTTTCTTTTTTTTTTTAATAGAAATGATAGGCTGGGGAGGTAGCCGGGTGGTAGAGTGCGTGCTTAGCCTGTGTAAGGCCCTGGATTCGATCCCCAGGACTACAGATTTTATATATATTCAAATCGCTAAGACTGTGTTTGGGGGTGTGCATGTGCATATCAGAAGATGTGTGTAGTTTGGGGGTTGTGGCGGGTAAGTGGATCCAGAGATGGAGCAGCCAGGTCAGTTGAAATTTAAATTTTAGCTTCTGTTCCAGGAGGTGGGGGGGTTTCAAACAGACATCCATCCAAGCCTGGAGAGGCTCGCAGAGGGCAGCTACCCACACAGATAAAGCTCCCGGCTTCCCTTTCAGTATTCAAACCTTGAATCCCTCTACAGCCACGTGGTCTCCAGATCCCACACTCAGAAGCCTAGAAAGTTCTAGAATCGAGATCCTTCCCCCACCCCACCCCACTTAAAAGCCCAGCTGACCTGATCAGAAACCGACCCCAAGGTCTTCACATCGAGGAGCGGACCACGGCGGGCGAGGGCACCCGGCTCCCAAGCCCCTTCTCTGGGCCGGGACAGGCAGAGGGCCACCGAGGGCTGACACTTGGACTTGTCTGTACTTCCTGCTCTCGGGCACAGGCGGGAGACGGAAGAGGCTGGCCTCGGGTACTCAAATGACAAGGCTAAGGGAGCCTGTCCAAAGTGCTACACATGTATCCACTGCCTGCTGAGCGTGTTACACGCCTCCCCTGTCGCCCCAGCCTCGGGACAGTTTCACTTCCACTTTCACGGCACAGGAGTGAGTTTACGTGACCCCCGTACAACATCTCGGAAGCACCAAAGATAACAGCAAAGGGCATTTATTTGTCTTTCTGAGATTGGCTCGCTGGGCTTAATAGGATTATCTCAGGGTTTTGTCCATTTTCCTGCAAATAACATAACTGGTTTTGTTGTTTGTTTGTTTGTTGCTTGTTCTGGGTTTTGTTTTGTTTTTTTTCCCTGAGACAGGGTTTCTCTGTGTAGCTTTGCACCTTTCCTGGATCTCGCTCTGTAGACCAGGCTGGCCTTGAACTCACAGAGATCCGCCGGACTCTGCCTCTCGAGTGCTGGGATTAAAGGCGTGTGCCACCCCACCGCCCCGGCGCGTTTTTAATTCTTATTGTTTACTTTTTGAGTTTTCTGCAGAGTCTAGACACTAATGCTTTGTCAGATGGACAGTTTGTAAAGATTTTTCTCCCATTCTGTACACCGTCTCTTCGCCCAGCTAATATTTCCTTCACCGTACGGAAGCCTTTTAGTTTCCTGAGGTCTCGTTTGGCAACTGTTGGACTTTCTTCCTGAGCAACACCTTTCAATAATAATTCTGAGTACTAGTGGTCAAAAGACACAATCAAAAGACACAAACTGAGGATTGGACAAAAAAAAAAAAGGGCACCACAACATCGAAGACAACGAACACTGCTTTAAAGGTGGACAGTTAGGAAAGGGTGTCCAAACAAATGGGTCTAGGAAACAAGCCAGTGTTAGCGTCCTTTTCTTATTTCAGTCTTTTTAACATCTATTTATCTATTTATTTATTTACTTTTGGCTTTTCAAGACAGGGTTTCTCTGTGTAGCCCTGGCTGTCTTGGAACTCACTTTGTAGACCAGGCTGGCCTCGAACTCACAGAGATCTGCCTGCCTCTGCCTCCCAAGTGCTGGGATTAAAGGCGTGCGACACCACTGTCCACCTCCTATTTTTCAGGGTTTGAAAGCTTTTTCTGGGTTAGCCGTTATGAGTACCCTGGTTTCACTCCATAACTATCGGTAACACCTCCGGTGGGCCTGAAGGCCTGAGCTTTGTTTGAGGGTCTCCCAACTTCCCCAGCTAACTCTGTTACACACTGATGTTCTCTTTGATCCCAGTTCAATAGTTTCTGGTTACAGCTCCTTAAAGAAATCTAAAAGCAAAGGCTTCCCACAGCAATCTCACCAAAGACAAACCCTGGGCCCTTCACCATGTGCACGAACCAATGAACAAACACATAAGCTCCCTGCTGTGAATGAGTTCAGATATTTTCTGGTGTTAAAAGAACTTTGACACTATGTTTTCTGCTACCTAATACAGAACGTACGTTTTCAGAGTAAAGAGCCCCGGCTGCACAGCTGGGAGGATTGAATGAGGTGTCTGAAAATACCTCTGCATCCAGGAGGGATGGGTAAAGGTGACCCCATAATATCAGTACCTTTAGCTGGTATTTGACTCTGCCCAAGAACCTGGGCAAGACCACAGCCACAGAATCAGATCCTGCCTGTGTCTCAGTCCACTCCAGGACTTACTGTGCTTTCCCCAGCCTTCGACAGAACCTCTACCCCAGTGCTGGACCACTGTTTGCTGAGAACTTTCTGTCCAAGACCACGAACTTCCTGAGGGTGGCAACGGCAGCTTTCGTGGTAATACCTGAACCATACAACTGCCTGAAAATCACCAGCAAAAAGAAACTCTGCAAAGGGGCGACGGCTGTGAACATGAAGTTCCCTAAGGAGCACCAGGTCCACTAACGCATAGGATGGCATATTGAATGGGTCAGTAAACCTGGGAAACGATGAATAATGCAAGAAGATGCCCACTTCCTTATTAAACATTTTCAAGTTGGAAGCTTCAAAAAAAGAAGAGAGAGAGAGAGAGAGAGAGAGAGAGAGAGAGAGAGAGAGAGAGAGAGAGAAGCTCTATAGGCTGCTGGAGAAGCCATATTAGTTCCTGGAGAGGATTTACCCACAAACAGGATTTGATTTTCTTGTTGTGGCATTTACTGGGCAAAGTGAAATACCAGCTGAATGACCTGGTGTTATGGGGTCATCTTCTCCATCCTGGGCAAAGACACACAGGAGACACACAGCCATGACTAGCAATCCCTCTGTGCCCGTATAAGAGTTCTTTGTCTATTAAATAGGATTTGTAAGAAATGAGAGTGTTGCCGGGCGGTGGTGGTGATGCATGCCTTTAATCTGCAAAGCCAGGAGGGTCTCTGTGAGTTCGAGGCCAGCCTGGTCTACAGAGCGAGATCCAGGACAGGCTCCAAAGCTACACAGAGAAACCCTGGCTTGAAAAACATAAATAAATTTTTTTTAAAAAGTAAGAAAGAAATGAGAGTGTTAATCACCCTAATTTGATCACTACTACTCTATTTGTAAAAAAAAAAAAAAAGATTTATTGGGGCTCGAGAGATGGCCCTGAAGTTTATGAACACTCACTACACTTGCAGAGTATCCCCATCCCATCCGGTCCCCCCCACACACACACACACACCAGGTGCACCTACATATATGCAGGCAAAACACTCACATACATAAAATAAAAATAAATCATGTTTTAAAGAAAGAAGCTGAGACCTAACCAAGCAGAAGGAATATAGAGGGCTCCCGAGAGAGAGAGAGAGAGAGAGAGAGAGAGAGAGAGAGAGAGAGAGAGAGAGAAGAAAGAAAAAAGAAAAGTAAGAAATAGAAATATGACTGTGATAATTACCAACACCTACAGGTACTTAAAGTCAGTCACTGCTGTAACTAACTGATTAAGGCGTCCTGAGACATTACTGGCCTCAGGTCATAGTTGTGTGTGTGTGTGTGTGTGTGTGTGTGTGTGTGTGTGTGTGTGTGTGTGTGATGTTTTAAGTGCAGAGTTGGTGGAAGCAGGAAAATCAGAAGTTTAAAAGTTCAAGGAAGGGGGGAGGAAGAGGGGGGGAGAGGTAGAGACACAGAGATTGGGGGAAGGGAGAGATGGAGAGAGAATGGGGGGGTATTAGGGTTGGGGGTGTCTTTTAAGAGTTGGGGGGAGCACATAAGACGCGGAAGGACACGCAGCAGAGGCTAGAGGACTCCGCACGGTGATGTCACGGAATGATTAGCCCAGCTCCAGAGCCGAATTAAAAGGAAAGTAAGACTAAGAAGTTGAATGAAGTTTCCTGGAGAGGCGCTCAGGGTCCCGCCGGCGCGGGCGGCCCCTCAGTGGCTGTGTTTCTGGAAGTGCCACGAGAGATCGCCACGGAGGCAGCAGCCACGGGGAGTGGAACGAGACCGCTGTGCAGCACTGACCTGTCCCTGCTCGCGGGCCACAGCTCCGGGGCTCGCGGGCCACAGCTCCGGGGCTCGCGGGCCACAGCTCCGGGGCTCGCGGGCCACAGCTCCGGGGCTCGCGGGCCACAGCTCCGGGAAGAAGGTCTGCGACGCCCGCAGCAGGCCGCTGCTAGCTTTCGGAGGCTCGGCTGTCCCCAGGAGTGCTCGCACTTCCTGTTCCCACGGGGCCGGGCCACCGTTTCCTAGCCAGTCCAAGAAGCGGGGCTTTATAACCTGATCACCCCAGGTTAGGTGACTCAATCAAGGGCCCCCCGCAGACTCCAGCCCTCAACGGGGTCGCGGGGGCGGGGGAGCGTGGGGTGGGCGGGAGGGGAGGGGCGGGAGGAGGGGGGAGACTTCCCAACTGAAAGAGCTAGGAGAAAAGTTCCCCCGGAGAACAGAAATGACTCATTCCGAGGATGAGAAATATTTAGAGACGCGGAGTTAATCATTAGAGGCATGGTGGTGCCAGCCGTCCTTGCTATATTTACACACACGACCCCGTGCCTTAGGAGCCCCCGCCAATTCTTGAGGACACTTCCTCATACGTCCCACCTCTCACTCCGCCTTTCTGAGACAGGCTGGCCAAGTGGCTGTGGAGTGAGGTGTTTGCTTTGAATGCAGAGACCCTGCACTCTGTAAACAGGATGGGTAAACCGGATGCAGGGTGCACTTTTAATCTCAGCACTCAGGGAAGTGGTGGCAGGAAGATTAGAACTAGCAAGATCCAGGCCAGCCAGAGCTACTGGAGACAATGAAGGAAACACACACACACACACACACACACACACACACACACACACACACACACACACACAAAGGGACCAGGACCAGTTGTTCCCCCCCCCCCCAGGGGCCAGTTTGCTAAAACCTCTGCTCCATATTACCCCACCATCCAAGTTGATTATGTCTGGCTTCCAACAGACCCTCGGGAAGTATGTCCAGTCTGGTAGCCAATCAGGGTCCTACCTGGCCATGAGCAGGAACTGTTCTTGCTATTTTCAGTCAGGCAGACCCCTGACATAGAAGACAGACCCCTGACACCACAACTACAGTTGCTGACCAGATGTCATGAGCCAATCATAAAATGAGTCCTGTATCAGTAAGGGTCTACACCCAATCACTTCAAAATACACTTAACCACAGGGGAATTCCCCTAAGCAGGCTCCAAAGGGGCTGCCTTACCCTTCCCTGGGGTCGAAGCCGTTTTGGGTGGGCCCCAGCATGCTGGTCTTTTCTTAAGAATAAAGCTGCTTTCTGCAGTTGCTTATCAGATGCCTTCTGGTCATTTGGAGCCATCTAAGGGCCCTAACACACACACACACACACACACACACACACACACACACACACACACACGGGAGCCAATGCCCAATTTCCAACCACTCTGGAGAAGGAAGTGATTTCATACTGTGCACCACACTACCAGCAAGGGAGCCAGAACTGGCCCCTGAAAATGTTCAAAATGAGATACTGGAGGAGAAATTTGACTTGTGTGCTGTGGTCTAAAACTCAGCACTGAACTCATGGACCCCCCAACACACACAGGCCGAGGTCATATTTTAGGGTCGTTCTTGAGAGGTCACACTAACCTGCAGCTGAAGTGTTAGGGACGCGCACACAAAAGAGGAAAGCTTTTCCTAGCCATGTTCTAGGAGTTCCTAGCCACCGGTGTTTTTGCAGGGCCGAGCTAGGATTACAGAGCTCAGAACACTGAGTAGGCATAGGGACTAAAATCCATCCCGGATCCTTTCACAACTTAGGGTCTGGAGTCGGCCATGTGACGAGCAGCAGTTAAAACTGGGCCACAGAGTAAGAATTTGTCTAGAAAAGGGGGTGGAAAAGAAAAGGGGGCCCTCGAATCCCGAGACAACCACAGCTCTGGGAAGAAGTTAAAGGGCCAGCCATAGCCGGACTGAAGGGTGGGATGTGGAAGGCACACTGGCCAGGGACCTTGTGTCCTGCTTGTCTCCTCTGTATACACACACACACACA